CACATAAAAACACATACACAAATAGAAACATGTACATATAAAGATACACACATATATACACTATTACACAAATATTTTTATATATAGAAACACATACATAGACACACACATAGACATATTTCGATTGTTGCTGGTCTTACCGATTTTATCCAATATGAAAACAAACCTGTATGGAGGAGGAAGTGGCCAACTCCAAAGCGGGTCTGTTACGTGGAGGTTAAGATGGAGATGATGGTGTGATTCCCAAATCTGCCCACAGATTCCACCATCTGTAAATTAAGAAAATAAATGTTAATAAAGTCTACAAACCTTCAATTGAGATGTTCACCCATAAAAACGTTGAATTGTACATACACAGTGCTGGTTACACAAAAATTACTTGATTGGATAATACCAGCCGCTATCCATTGTCAAAGTTGAAGCCCCAAAGCTACCTGCTTCAAGAATACAAATGCACGATGAAATTAATCAATCAATTTTGTCCTTCACCATATTTATGTTGAAGTGAAGTTACTTATAAACGACAACCAAATCAATGAATTGTCAATTGTTTAGAATAAAATGGTGGAGATTTGGTGGATCTTACAACTAATTTACCCATGAATAAATAAGTATTTTTTTAAAAGCTTTATTTATTAAAAACTCAAACATGGAACTATATAAAGGTAATCAATACTTTTGGATATTCAATAGCGATGTGCAGTTATTACAGACCTCCCTTTTCTTTATCTGTTTTCGCAGACTACCACCATAACGGGTACCTGAAAAAGAAAATAAAAAACAATATTTAAGTAAAATATTTTCATTTTTTATAGTTTAAAAACAAAAAATATTTTTATAGATAAGAAAAATAAGAAATGAGGTGTGAACTATTTTAAGAAGATCTGGAGCTTGTAGCACCATTTTCGATTCCTATCTTGTCATCTCTTTTCATTCTTCACCTGTAAATTAGATATAACCATCAATATTTTTTTAAAAACATGAATTCATATATGTACTTGGGGTTTATAAACTTTTGTATTGATGCCCTAACGTATGTGTCTGAAAATTTTACAGATATTAATGAAAATCTAACATACCTATTAACACAATATGACAAATGAACAAACTGAGTGTGTTTTTCAAATGACACTGCTGAAAAAAAAAACAAAAAATTGGTAAAATAACCAGTAAATTATTATAGTCAATATTACAATAGGTAAATTTTGTGGTAAACCTTAAACAGGGACAACCGATGTCCATACCTAATTGGGTTTGTTTTTCTTGTAGCAAATCATGACCTTGAATTCCTGAAATTGGTTTTGTAATCGTTTGTTTTTCTTGAAAACAGCCCCAACCAAAATATGAAGGAAACTAACATGAAAATGATTCAGAATCGAAAACAACCAAAACCAAAAGATGATACATTGAGGTCAGTGGGATTTACGTGATCGATCTGTTGTGTATTTCGGCATATCTGTACAACAAGAGGGCTACCATTTTTTATAAAAATGCAAGATTAGGGTACGGAATATGAAAAACAAACAATCAAAAAGGTAAAAAAAAAAAGGGAAAGAAGAAGGAGATGGTGTCGTACCAGGAGCGACGATGCCCTACCATCTGTTGTTCAAAATTGAAAGACGGAGTGTGTTTGTATGTGTTTCACCTGGCGAAACTTAATTTCTCTCAGATAGATGAGGCAAACAAACGTCGATTTCTAGAGTGGGTAGATGACGACCGCTTGCAATCAACTCCTTCCGTCACCAACGTTTGAACTGATGATTTCAATCGATGCTTACCGAAGCGACCATTGGTAGATTTAGAGGAATTGCAGTGAAGGAAACAGAGGGACCGCTCATGGGTGCATAGAGTAGTGGAGTAGGTTGCCGATGAATGACAAAGACGACCTAGAAAACGCAGAGCATCCATGGAGAAGCCGAGATAATGACGGTGGGAGAGAGAGAGAGAGAGAGAGAGAGAGAGAGAGGAGAGAGAGAGCCGATAAAAGCATTCAGAATCAGTATGGAAGAGGAAAATGAAGTTGTGGAAGAAACTGGATGTAGAAGGTCCTGGAAGGTAGAAAGAGGCGAAACTGGACGTAGAAGGTCTTCCAACTGGAAGGTAGAAAGAGGCGGTGGAAAGTGGATAGGTGGGAATGTGGGATTAAACTAACTCAGGTATACTAACTAACCCAAGGAACAGTACCCTGGTCAGGTACTGTTCCTAACTTTCACAATCTTAATATATATATAATAATAAGTGTTTTGATGGTTTGTCAAAACCGTCACTTTGGTGTCCGGTAAAAAAACAAAAAAAATGAGTGTTTGGAAAAAAAAATTAATGAAAACTATAAAAATAAAAAATGGTCTGCATAACCTATAGGTTAGCTTGATTTTTGTTAACAAACATACAAATAATAGTTATTATTATATATTAAAAGACGATGCAAGGTAGAAAATCTCATATAGAAAAATCATGCATGATAAGGATTAGAAAAACACCAAAATTTTAATAAAATAAGTATTTTGGTGGTTTGTCAAAAAAACAAAAAAGAATGAGGGACCATTTAAATAACTTGGATGAACACAAAGAAGAATGCAGGGGTTATTTTTGTAATTTGAATTCCAATTTTCAATAAAATGAAGGGTAAGTTATTAAAAAATACATAAAAAATGAGGCATCTATAATAAGAATGCTTACAACTAGAGATGAGAATTTGGCCCGAAAACCCGAACCGAACCGAGAACCGAACCGAACCGAATTATACCCGAATAAGCAATTCGATTCGGTTTTCGGGTATCTATATAAGGCTTATTCGGGTTTCGGGTTATTCGGTCCGGGTTACCCGAATAAGGGCTTATTCGGTCCAAAAGGACCGAGCCGAATATGAAAAGTCACATTTTTCCCCTTGCACAATTGCTTAATCGGTCTTGTGTTCTATCGATCGTTACCCAAAATACCCACGTAATACACCAAAAAAAAAATCAACGAAATCGATTGAGAGTAGCGTATTACACCAAATCGATGACATTACCCTATTGTATCCCGTATGGTAAAATGTATAACTTTATTATTTGTATACTTTTTTTTATAATTATATTTTAACATTTTCTATGTTTATGTTGATAGATATTTTGGGACTGCAAATATCTACCGTGACATCAGAGGCGGCGTTTAGTACAAGCGGGCGTATATTGGATCCATATCGAACAAATTTGTCTGCAAATATAGTAGAAGCTTTGGTTTGCACTCAAGATTGGGTAAGGAAATCAAGAAAGCCAATTGTGGACAACATTGATGAAATTTTGAAAGACGATAGGGTTGCAAAAGCTTTAGAAGAGGCGATAAAGAACGGAGATGGAAAGGGAAAACAATCAATTAATATTCCCGAATAATTAATTCGTGTTTGAAAAATATTATTTTGGATATGGATAAAAACTTAAGATTCATATTTTAATTTGGGTGTTGAATGTTTAATGTTTAACTTATATACTTATAGATAGATTTTTTTGGTGTTTTGGATGTTTAATGTTTAGTGTTTAATATGTTGCTTAATAACTATATCTTAAGATTGTGGTGGTTGGATTTTACATTTTATATATCAAGAATAGTTAATCCGTGTTATTCGTGTTTATCATAAGCTACAAAAGTCATACAAAATACAATATTTATAATCACATTGTAAGTGTTATTTGGGTTATTCGGCTCCTTAATCATCTTGTACATGTTATTTGGGTTATTCGGGCCGGAACCGAACCGAACCGAACCCGTATTTGCTTATTTGGTCCGGTTTTCGGTTCATACAATTACCCTTATTCGGTTTTCGGTTTATTTGGGTTTGGGTCGGTTCCGACCCGAATAACATACCTACTTACAACAATACGAGAGCAAAAGTGATTATTTCTTGTTAATTCAAAAAGCACATGCTTATAATAAGAATCGAACCTACGCCCGCCTATAAAACTTACCGATTCTTACAACAATACTAACCAACTCATCTAATGAAATCTTGGTTTTCTATTCAAGATGGTCCATATAAATAAAGTATCAAAGAATGTTAATTTTGGGGCCCAAGCCGTAGCGAGGGCCGGGGCGGTCGCCCACCTTGCCCGCCCTATCGGGCCGGCCCTGTGCATCTAACCTAATTTTAGTAGATCTGATGAACTCATCTTCTTATAGTATAATTAATTCTGAACTTTGTCCTTTTACTTTGTACAAATCAACAATATTGTCCAAATAAGTCCAAAACATTCTAATTTACACCGGTAAAAGCTTTCAAAAGCTTAGTGCCAAACATATTATAGAATTCCACTTCCATATTTCCATGTTTTGAACTGTTAGTTTTTTCTAAATACAATTAAACTTGTTTAATTTTATGGGAATTATTTTTAGTCTAATAATGCTTAGAGATCATCGTTTGGTAGCAAGAGTTTTTTGCTTTTTATTTTAAACAAAAAGCTATAAACCAAAAAACTACTTCAAGTTTTTACCTTTTGCTTTTTAGTTTTTAACTAATTTTATAAATTTAAAAGCTAATAACTATTTTTGGCGAACCTCCTATCTAAAAGAAAAACTATAGCTTTTAACTTCTATCTACCAATCAGTTTTCAGTTTAAAAACACTATTCATTAAATTTCTAAATGTTTAAAATAAGGGTAATTAAAACTAGAGAGGGTACCAAACAATAGCCCAACAAGATAGTTAATGTCATGTAGCCCGATTCCAGCACACTTGAAATAATTCTTCTTTTCCATTTGTTCTTTGAAAGGATTTCAAGATTATAAATACTATAACAATTAAATTTTTAGCTAGCGTAGACATGTTTGTCTTTACTAACAAACCGAAATTAATATTGTTGTATTTTGGGTCTCCCAATTTATTTCACTCATAAATCATAACATACAAGTACGTATATTCGTTTCAAGTGTTGCATATATCTTCACTTAAATAGTTATCATTTATCAATTATAACGATTCAATATACCAAAATCAATTGACTTCAAAGTTCAAACGGCCTATATTTAAACCGAATCACCCACTTTCCCGATCCTTAAATAAACCGGATATGTAACGCTCTTTTCTCCATTCTCGTCTTCTTTCCAAGCACGCCGGAATTCCTCCATCACACCATTATTCAGTAACTCAACGCCCTTCTCTTTCGCCGTTTGGTAAGCCGACCATGATCTAATGTACGTACAGAATTCATCCAAACTCATCATCTTCTTACTTCGAAACTCAAACGGACCTGTGTCATCACATCCATCCACTGCTTCAAACGGAAATTCGATGCTCCTATACTTGTCATCAACAATTCCTCGCAGCAAATCCCAGTGAGGTTTTGATTCTGAGTAAAACTTGCGGAAAATTGGATCGAATTCATCATCAATTTCTGGAATAGTGTAGCACCATGCGGCGATAACGCCGTCAGGTTTCTTGAGTATCCATTTCACTTGATCGTAGAAGATGTCGTGATCGAACCAGTGGAGTGCTTGAGCGACTGTAACTAAATCAACACTTGACTCTGTTCCGATCTTCTTTCCCAATTCAGACATGGAAAGGTTGGGAGATGTACATTCGTAACGAATATTTGGGAGTTTTGGAGCAAATTCTAGTTGTTTGGTGCTTGTATCTGTGCCGATTACGTTCTTGTATACGCTCGCGAGCTACGATCGTCATAAAATTCATTCGTTCATAAAAAATTAGGGTTGATTTCCATTTCCAATCGAACTTTAAAATCATCAACAATTAGTTAACAAACATTCATCCAAAAACAGAAATCAGTGATAGGAAGGACTTACGGAGGTGGCTGCCTGACCGCTGCCGGTGCCGACGTCCCAAACGAGGTCATGCTTGGGCGTCTTGGAGACGATGAAATCAAAGAGTTGTTGTGGATAACCTGGTCGAGTCTGGGAGTATTGCTTTGCTTGTTTCAAGAAAAGATTCGCCATTATTCTATCCTCCTTCTCTTTCTCCGACCTCTGGTTCGCTGCCGGCAACCCAAGTTGACTCGGATGAGCTAATGGAACGACGAGAACGATGCGATTCGGGTGGTGGTAAATAGCCTAACTTTCGTGTTTCATTTCACTAGTAAAATTCGTGTTTGCTTTGACAAATATGAAAAGATATTAACAAAACTAACAAAATTAAATTAAATTGACTTTATTGAAAATAACTCACATGGTTAATTGGCCACAACAGTCAAATGTGGTACATACTCTATTCTCCTAATAATATTTCGGACTTTCCGGAATAGGATAAAGGGAAATCTCCAGAAAAATTTTAAAATTTTAGTCTAATTTATGAAAAAGTCCAAAACTAAATTTTGTTTATAGAAAAGCACAAAATACCGGCTAAAACTTCGAAAAAACCCTTTTTTGATCAGTTTCGTAGATTTTGCCGGTATTCTGTCCTTTTTCGTTTGTTTGCTCAAAATATTAGGACTTTTTTGAAAATAACCCGATAACCAAAATATTATGATTTTTCTGAAAATTAATATGAAATTAATGGATATTATTATTAACAAATAATTTATAAACAATACAAATATTTTTTTTTATAAACAAAGGAAATACATTTGTTTCTAATTTCTAGGAATACAATGGTCGACTAGGTACTTCTTTATTGTTTGCTGACCACTTCCAACTCCCTATGTTTCTCCTATGTATCGTTGTGGGTGTCATAGTGAGATGTACTCTATATGTTTCTTCAGTTAAATAAGAGTTGATAATATTTATTAATACACAATCAATAAGTGTCTACTTGCTACTAGGTATGACGTTATAGGATCACATGTTATTAGAGATTATCATTACACAATGATTCTTGAACATATAGATCTATCATTATGTTTTTTAATCTAAATACCACTGTAACATACTCAAAACACGGTCCCAAAAATTTCATTTTAGAAATACTAAATAAACATACTCAAAACACGGTCCCAAAAATTTCATTTTAGAAATACTAAATAAACGATATTTGTCAAAACATCCGAACATATACATAAGTCATAAATCCAAATCCATAAAAATCAGAGTAATATCTCGGTCAAAGTCAAAGTAAACATCCAAGTCAAAGTCAAAGTCAGCGCTCCGAGTTGACTCAACTCGTCGAGTCATCTTTCAACTCGGCGAGTTCCCATAATTCACAGAATCGCGATATTTCGAATCAACTTGTCGAGTTTTTCCTTAAATCGCCGAGTTCTTCCTTTTTCAATAGAATCGGGACACACCCAAACTCGTCGAGTTGAGGCCTCCCAACTCGTCGAGTTGGTCACTTAAAACACGCGGTCCAAAACTTTTCAACACAACGAGTTGCGGCTACCAACTCGTCGAGTTGATCTATTAAATTGCATAATTAATAAGTTAAAATACATACCAGGAACCAGGTGTTACAACCACTTAACCTCCATACACTAGTCGATAACAACCATCAAATTACACACATAGTGAAAAGTAAACTTTAAATGACAATTTAACTAGATAATCACCCTTTACTTGTTTCCATATAAACTATCATTCATGATTAACTTTCTCACATTTAATAGATGTGTGTTAGCCTATGGTTGTTACCATGTGAGGAATGGATGTTGGTATTAGCACATAACACATGTGCTCCTTATGTTTATATTTGTATTTAGCTATACCTAGACTTGGTCCAATAGAACTACTCTTTCTCCTCTTGTTACAGATCCATAAAGATAGGATCGACTCATGTATATAACGACTTGTATATCGTTCAATACAATATCTTTTTGATTTGATCAATCCAATCTTCTTATATGGTATCAACCAGGAAACCCTAACATTCCTGCCGATCTTTTCCTCTTCATTAATCCCTCATGGCCACCACTTCTACAACCAACACTTCTTTCGCCCAATCTTTTCCCCTCACCACCACGAACCTCACACTGGTGACTTTTCCCCCTTCTCTCAAACTTACCTCCACCAACTATATGAGTTGGAAAACTCAAATCGAAGCTCTTCTGCATGGTTTAGACCTCTACAAATTCATTGATGGCACAACTCTTGCTCCGAAACCTACCATGGTTGCAGGTGTCTCCACCCCACATGCTGATTACCCTGCTTGGTTTCGCCAGGATCGACTTCTTTTTGGCGCTATTGTTGGTTCCCTGTCACCATCCATTGTTCCCCTTATCTCTAATGCTACCTCTTCCCTTGAAGCATGGAACATCCTCTCCACTACTTATGCAAATCCATCACGTGGCCATATCAAGCAATTGCAACACCGTCTCAAGCTCTCTGTCAAAACCTCCACCCAATCGATCACTGACTATATGCAGTCAGTCAAGGTCATTGTTGATGAGTTACAAGTCCTTGGAAAGAAGATGGATGCTGAAGATGTTACTGATGCGGTTCTCAATGGTCTTGACTACACCACCTACAAGACAATCATTGATGTTGTTCACGCTAGAGATACCCCTATCTCCTTCACTGAACTTCATGAGAAATTAATTAATCATGAACTCACCCTGCTCCAGCAATCCACCTCCACTAATCTTCATCAACCTACCACTGCTTTTGCTGCCCAGAAACGACCCCACCAAAAACCATGGAACAACCGACCCTCACCCAACTCCCAACCTCTTCTGCCCACCCCCACCACCACATCACGCCCCTTCCTTGGAAAATGTCAATCCTGCTTCACCAAAGGACACTCCCTCACATCCTGTTATGCTTTCAAGAACAAGCACCCTAATGTTAACCTGCCCACACTACCCAAAACCACCTACTATCCTGCTCAGGCCAACGTCATGACTGCTACCAAATCTGACAACAATGCCCCTTGGATGTTTGATAGTGGTGCTTCTCACCACATCACCAGTGATCTCAACAATCTAGCCTTGCATGCTCCTTATGACGGTACTGATGAACTTGTCATTGGTGATGGTTCGTCCCTTTCTATCTCTCATGTTGGATCTCTTACTCTCAAGTTCTCTAATCATCCATTCTTTTTAGCTTCTGTTCTTTGTGTTCCCTCCATATCTAGAAACATAATCTCTATTTCTCGTTTATGCCTTGATAATCCAATACTAATTGCCTTCTTCTCATTTTATTTTCTTATCAAGGATCTGCAAACCAATCGCCTCCTGCTCCAGGGAACAACTAATCGTGGCATCTATGAGCTTCATTCCACTGCTCATCCACTATTACTTCACACTCAAAAGTCCATCTCCTGGCATCATCGACTTGGAAACCCACATCTCCAAGTCTTAAATCATTTAGCTGCTATTTGTCCTAGTATTAAGTCTATGCAAAATAACTGTAACTCTTGTTGCATCAATAAAAGTCATAAACTCCTTTTTCATAGCAATTCTCTTACTTCTACACAACCTTTACAACTTATTTATTCTGATGTATGGTCCTCTCCTATCACTTCTTTTGATAATTTCAAGTATTACATTATATTTGTAGATCATTTCACAAAATATACTTGGCTATATCCACTCAAACACAAATCTGACTCTCTCACAACCTTCATCTGTTTTCAATCTTTGGTTGAAAATTTCTGTCACACAAAAATTATACAACTCTTCTCTGATAATGGAGGAGAATATATCAAACTTGCCACCCATCTTGCCTCTTGTGGCATTACTCATCTCACCTCCCCTCCACACACCCCTGAACATAATGGATATGCTGAAAGGCGCCATCGTCATATTGTAGAAACTGCCCTCTCTCTTTTATCTCATGCCAAAATGCCACTCAAATTTTGGACTTTTGCAGTCACTACTACAACTTATCTCATAAACAAGCTTCCCACTGCCACCTTACAAAATGATTCCCCACATTTACGTCTTTTCAAATCACTCCCAAATTACTCCAAACTCAGATGCTTTGGATGTCTAGCCTACCCATGGTTACGTCCTTATAATACTCACAAACTCCAACCTAAATCCAAGCCATGTATCTTCATTGGCTATTCATCCACTCAAAGTGCTTATTATCTTCTTGACCCTCTCACAAATAAAATTCACACATCTCGCCATGTTCACTTTGTAGAAGATATCTTCCCTTACCCAACACTCACCAATACATCCACTCCTCCCTCTCATGAACCTGATACCTGGCTACAAGTTGAACATATATCTATTCCTACCCCTTCTCCTAACCCGGATCCTGTCCAACCTATACCAGTTCCAAATAATCCCCCTCCTCCTGTTGACCCTGCTCCGAACCCAACTCCTCCAATTCAAAATCCTCCACCACCATCCTACAATACCCGCCAAAACCCAAAACCCAACCCTAAATACCACAATAATGATTTTATTTTATTCAACTCCATTGTTCAGCCTTTTCCTGAACCTAGAACTATTACCCAAGCACTCAAAAATCCTCAATGGCGTCAAGCCATGCAATCAGAACATGATGCTCTATTACGAAATCAAACTTGGTCTCTTGTTCCTCCTGAATCTGCCACCAACATCGTTGGGTGCAAATGGGTTTATCGCACAAAGTTCAACCCGGATGGCACTGTTGACAAATTAAAAGCACGACTAGTAGCTAAGGGTTTTAATCAAAGACCTGGTGTTGATTTCAAAGAAACTTTCAGTCCCGTTATTAAACCCGCCACTCTTCGTCTCATCTTGTCTCTTGCCACTTCTCAAAGTTGGTCATTATGCCAACTTGACATAAACAATGATTTTCTTCAAGGCTCCCTCTCTGAATCTGTCTATATGTCTCAACCTCCAGGATTTATTGATTCCAACCATCCCACCCATGTCTGTAAATTAAACAAAGCTATTTATGGGCTAAGACAGGCTTCTCGTGCCTGGTACAATGAACTCAAAAACTTTCTTTTATCTCTCAATTTCAAACCTACTATTTCTGATTCCTCCCTCTTTATTCATTATTCGTCTACCTCTCCTATCTACATTCTTGTATATATAGATGACATCATTGTTACAGGTCCTAACTCTTCCCAAGTA